TTTTTCTCTCTCTCTGTGTGGGGGTATGGTGGTGTTGTTATTTAGTTTTAGGGGTTCTTATTTATTTTGGACAATTTTTTTTCTTTCTATTTTCTTCTTGAGGCTTCAGTTTCAAGTCTTATGTTTAAGTCTTTACTTTTTTTTTTTCTGATACCAGAGATTGAACATAGGGGCACTCAAACACTGAGCCACATCCCCAGCCCTATTTTGTGTTTTATTTAAAGACAGGGCTCTCAAGGAATTGCTTAGCGCCTCGCTATTGCTGAGGCTGGCTTTGAACTTGGGATCCTCTTGCCTCCTGACAAATGCTGCATGATTCCAGTTATATGTGCTATCTAACACAGTCAAATTAGTAGAAGCCGAGATTATCATGGTGCTTCCCAAGGGCTTAAAGGATGAGGGAAGCGGGGAGTTGTAACCAGTGGGTACAATTTCAGTTATGTAAGATGAATAAATTTTAGAAATCTGCTGTACAATGTTGTTCCTATAGTTAACATACTTTTTTTGTACAATAAAAAATATAAGTTATAGGGCTTACGTTAAGTATTCTTTGCACACACATGTACACATACATTAATTAACTTTTGAGGCCTTGGAATTCTTACACTTTCCTGGGATTGTCAGGAAGAGAGGAACATGTGAATTACATACAAGGGTCCCTGACTATCTTCTCCAGTGCATCCTCACTGCCTCTGCTATTTTCTGTATTTTCTTTCATTATATCACATAATCTGATGGGATTGTCTTTATTTAATTACTTTTTTAATTCATAAAGGCAATGTATACTCCATGAGGGCAGATGAGTTTTCTGATTGATTTGTTGTTGAATCCCCATCTCTGATAACCAGGTTACCATACAAGATGTTTAGCATTATCTGTTGAATGAATGAATAACATGTCAAAATGTTGCATATTATACTTTATGTAGTAAAACATAACAAATGATCATTATCATTGCTGTAAATATCATTATGAGCTTACAATGAAATTTTAGGAGTTATTAATTTGTTATTTTGTTTCCTGATATTTGGCTGGATTCTTTGAGTTTCCATGCTCTCTCCTGCACATTTTCCCCCTGTAAGATCTCATTCGGTCAGTGACTTGGTTGTGCCAGCAGTTCCCTGATGCACATTCCTGGCCTCTTCTCCTCTCTGGAGCCCCACTCATAGCATGTAGTCATCTCATACTCTACATGTCTCCCAAATCCTGCTCATCCTACTCAGCTCCTTTTCTCAGTGAGTGGCATCTGCACTTTCCTGCTGCCTGTTAGAAACTGTGCTCCATCAGTGATGTCTCCCTTATTGCTCAAATCTGATCTGTTCCGTTTCTCCCTCAGAAAAGGTTTATCTTTTTCTTAGCTCAAACTCTCATTTACTTTCATTTGGGCTTTTATGGCAACCAATAATATAGACAAATCTTAGTGAACACAAAATGAGATCTTTATATGCACTTTATGAATACAGAAATCTATGAGGCAGATATTATTAGTGCATTGTAATTATTTTCTTACAGATAAGGAAAAAGCAAGGTTAAGTGAGAATAAGCAGTTTTCTTAACTTCTCATAGTTGCTCAGTGTTGGAGTCAGGGTTTGAACTTAGAGCTGTCTGATTCCAGAGGCTCCAACATCTTCTAAATCTTCTAATTGCCACAGGATTCTTTCCTCTCTAGCCCTTGTTCAACCCACACAGCCTTCCCCTTTCCTTTGAGTCATCTCTTAATTATTCTTCAAGAATCATCTTAAACATTGTCTCTTCCACCCTTTATAGATCCCACTGGGTAGAAGCAGATGCTCCTGTGAGGTTCTAGAACAGTCTTTACCCATGTCTGCCTGGACCATTATTATTGATTATTTTTATTTTGTGTCTGAATTATCAGTTCACATGTCCTGAGAGCAGAAACCTTCTAATATCTCTGCTTCATTAGAATTATTTTATGAAAGGAATACTTCTATACATATTATTTATTGAATAATTTAATACTTGTTTTTATTTTATAGAAATGTAACTTCTTTTTTTCTACAAAGATCTATGATTATTAATTTAGAATATTTGACTTTAAATTCAGCTTCCTCCTTGCCTTTCTGCAAACAACATAGGAAGATTTTTGTAAGCAATACCTTTTTGTCCTCCCACCTCCAGATTAGCAAGTCCTTTTTGGTATCTGGTGACCCCTATTTACTCTAATGTCTTTGTTCACTCAGCCTAAGTATTTTCCTATGCTATCCTATCTGCATTCTATTTTTTCCAGTTTTGTTTTCTGCTAGGCAACAGCTAAAGTGTCAGCCCTGGTGATTCACTCTTCACTTGCAACATGAGTATAGAAGCCATTTTTCATCTCTGACCAGTGGTGGGAGGTTCAGGTCCCAGAAGATATTTTTGAGCAGTGGGTCTTACCATTTCCTAAAATTGCAGCTTTTTATGTCTTTAAAGAAAGCTGCATATTTCTTTTCTCCATAGTCATTTTTCCCAAATTGGTAGAAAGTCCTTTACAGTGGATAAAACTACGATGTGATGGATGGATTGTAAGTAGGGAAGTGGTCATCTCTGCCAGGATGCTTGAATTCTGAATTACACAAATCTTTCTGACTAGCTTATTTTGGAGAATATCTGATTTTTATTCAAAGACAATGAAAGCTTACCTCATCCATCTTCAGAGTTTGAAAATGTATATATGTATCTAAATAGAAAACAATCATGAATATATTCAGGTTCTGACTGCAGAAGTCAATTTAAAAAAAATACATGAATCTCAGACTACTAAGGAAAAAATATCACATCAAAAATGCATTAATACGAATATCTCCTTATAACGATTTGATGAATGTCAATTTTGGAATTGTTTTAATAAAGCAAATGTATTTTTTTTGCTTTTAAAGATCTCTTAAGAAAAACAAACAGCATTAGAATATCAAGATATTAAAGTATTCATTAAATTATAAATTAATCATTAATTAACATAGAATTTACTTCTATGTAAAATTCTTGGATAAACAGCCCTTAATAAGCGGAGGTAAGATTTAAGTTCATATTGTCTGTTCGTTCCTAAGTCAAATATTTGAAAAGATCTCTCTTAACTATTCTTAAAGGCAAAATAAGTAGTTCATTATCTACCTCCTCATGAGAACTTCCATTTTTGAAGGAATTATTCTTCAAAATGAGTCCAAGTTAGTTATAGAAAAGAAAATGATGGGCAAATTGTAATGGGGTATAATAAAATCATGCACAGCATTTGGCTTTCTTTATCATGTCAGTTGTATTGATAAGGACACTGAAGCCTGCTGCTAAAGTCTAAGGATATTAGATGTAAGTCTAAGGATATTAGGTGTGTGGAAAGACTTTGAGAGAGACGGAAAGACAGATTGTACCTTGGAGGTGAAAACCAGAGTATAAACAAAACTGGAGGTTAGGCTTACTCTGCTTTGCAGTACAGAAGGGAAGAGGGAAGTAGTAAAGAATGCTAATTATTCTATTTACTAGTATATTCTCGAAATGCTAAGAACCTGGCATGACAGGAGCCCAAAGCAAATTTTGTGCAGTTGATACCAATGATAAGTGAAAACTAATTAAACATGTAGAAGCTCAGTTTGTAGAAATTGTTTCAAAAGAAAATTTGATAAACACACTCATCCACACTCATTCAACTCACCTTTTTCTCATTGAGAACAAGGACCATGCACCTTTGGTTAGAAGAGTAATTATAAGTTGTTAAAAAATCAAAAGAACATTTGATATCTGTGTTAATAATGAAAACACTTCACTAGAATGACTCTGTTTCATTGATAGGATGACTGAGCATTTCCCTAAAGCTTGCCCTCCCTTCCACCAGTCCATCCCACTCATACCACTTATTAATTTTCCTCTCTTCAGTTGGCTTGCATTGTCACAATTTCTTCCATATCATTAATATTTAGTAGAAATGCATGTTTTTTGTTCACTGTTTTCATGCAGTAGATAGAGGATTTGTTAAATGACTCAAATTTAGGCCATGATATATTAATTTTATGCGTATGTTAGTTCTGAAGTCTTGTATTTTCTATGCAAACCAGGAATTGCTTTTAAATTGCTGATTTAGAGTGTAAAGGAGATCTGGAACCAGAGTTATTCATTTCTCACTGGTGAATAAAAAGAAAACAACAACTGTGATTCATTTACCAACTCCTTGACTCTTTGATTTATATCTTTTTGGAGCATATTGTAGTTCATTCAGTGAGAATGAAATGTAAGACATAGCTTTTGTCTCAAAAAATTAATATTGTTCTGTTACTGTCCATTACGGGTTAGATATCTATGAGGTTGCCCCCAAAAGCTCATGTGTGAGACAATGTAAGAAAGTTCAGAGGTGGAATGATTGGGTTATAATAGCCTTAATCTAATCAGTACATTCATCCACTTGAATGGATTAACTGTGTGGTAACTGTTAGCAGGTTGGGTGTGGCTAGAGGAGTTAGGTCACTGGAGCTGTGCCTTTGAGGTTTATATTTTGTTCCCAGTGAGTGGAGGTCTCTTGGCTTCCTGATTGTCTTGTCCTGAGCTGCTTTCCTTCTCCACACCCTTCCACCATGATGTTCTGCTTCAGCACAGGCCCGGAGTAACAGCTTTGGCCACTTGTGGACCTGAGACCTCTGAAACCTTGAACACCAAATAAACTTTTCCTCCTCTAACATTGTTCTTGTCAGGTCTTTTGGTCATAGTAGTGAAAAAGCTGACTAAAACACTCTTGACCTCTACAATAATCAGCAAATATTCCCCATTGTTCCAAGGATCCTAACAATATTCCGCTTGTTTCTATTCAATATAAGTCTTGCAGTTTATCATTTTATAGATATTATTACCCAAATTTAGTATGTTGTGAAGAAAAGCAATATTTTATTCTGAAATTTCTATCATAACTTAATAGAACAATCTGAGCTTTTTAACTTTTTATTTTTTATTTTTATTTCAGTTTTTTTTTAACTAGTAGTTATACATAATAGTAGGGTTCATTTTGACATATCCATAGTGTTTATTAAGCTTTATTAGGATATTCTTGACATAAAATTGCATATATTAAAGTATACAGTTTGATGTTTTTGATAGATATGTCCATTGTGAAATGATCACCACAATTTCAGTAATTAATGTCTGTTATCTCTACATAGTTAGTATTTGTGTGTGTGTGTGTGTGTGTGTGTGTGTGTGTTAAGACTATCTAAGATTTACCTTCTTAGTAGTATACAGGACAGTATCATTATATATTATCATCACGTTGTACATTAGATCTCTGGAATTTACCCACCTTTCATATCTGAAACTTTGTACCTTTTGATATCTATCCTTCCCCTCCTCACAAACCCTGGCAACCACCATGCTATTCTCCTCTTCTATGAGATTGACTGTTTTAGATTCCATGTGTAAGAGAGATATGTGGTATTTCTGTGTCTTACTCATTTGGCTTTCCTCCATCCATTTAGCAAAAATGAGGATTTCATTCTTTTTTCTTTGACTGCATAATACAGGTTGAGCATCCCTAATCCAAAATCTGAAATGCTTCAAAATCTGAAAACTTTTGAGCACCAACATGATGCTACAAGTTAAAAATACCACACCTTTACCTTGTGTGGCGGATCATAGTCAAAACATAGAAGCACTAAAAATATCATATAAAATTATACTCTGTATGTATATATACATACATATAAGTACATATAAAACAAATAAATTAATTTCACGTTTAGGATTATATTCCATCCTCAAGAAATCTCATGTGTATGCAAATTATCCAAAAATATAAAAATTCTGAAATCTGAAACACTTCTGGTCCTAAGCATTTTGAATAAGGAATACTCAACTTGTATTTGTGTGTATATATGTCTGGTCTCATATTTTCTTTATCTAATCATCTTGTGAAAGACCTTTAGATTGTTCTCCTGTCTTGGCTATTGTAAATAATGCTGTGGAGAAGATGGAAGTAGGGATATCTCTTTGAGATTCTGTTCAATCCCTGGATATATACCCAGAAGTGCAGTGCTGGATCAAGATAGGTCTATTTATAACCCATTAAGTCCCAAGTTTTCAAATCTAATATTTCAATGAAGTTGGCATACGTGCATTAAAATATGTTGAAAATCATAATCTAGGGCTTATATATTCTTATTTTAATTAAAATTAGAATTATTTAGTATGATTATGTTATATAATTATATGATTACATGATTTATACTATATATTTAAGTTTTTATAAGTATTCCATATCTGGGATTATGGGACAAAATATGTTAATTTTTTGAGGAAGCTGTATACTGTTTTTCACAATCCTGAGGCCTTTTCTTGAAGCCCAACATGGAATTCAGCAGTGACTGTTATGGGGAGACCTGGAGCAGGGGAATGGGGGTATGTATGTGACTGTTCATGATTTATAAACATCTGAGCATGTATGATCTTAGAAGAGTACCTGAGTGACAAAGTTCAGTTTTGAAGATATGTCTTACTATTAACTGTACAAAGTCAGAGGACAGGTGACAGGATGTCACACACACCCCTTTAGATGCTGCACTTAATTACTTAAAAGTACTGAAGGTACAAAATTTTGAAGCTGGAGAGGAGCTAGGGATGTCTATTATCTAGTCTTACTACTTCATTTTGAAGATGAGGAAACTGAAGAGCAGATGGAATAAGAAACTTTTATAATTTTCTGTAGATTTCTCAGAGGTGAATAAATTTATGTAGTTAATAATTTGAGATATCTAGAGTTGAAACCAAAGTTTCTTAACAATGAATCTACTATCCTTTCCATTATGTGTAGTCAAAGTGGATTTCTTATTCTGTCAGTGCTGCCTCTTTGTTTATTCACTCATTTATTTAGAAAGACCTCCTTAGTTTCAGAGCTGGGATCAAGGTGGTTAATGGCTTGGACCTCCTCAGCACCTGAATTTGTTATGGCTGACTGTGCAGTTACTCATGCTGCTCTTTTTAAAAGTGGAATAAACACTACAGACAAAATGCCTGGGACCCTGTGAACCATGGAGGCATATGACCAACAAAATCATTCTTCTAGGTACAATAAAATGTAATGGCTCATGGAATTAAGAGTGCTGTGGTACAGAGAAGCAGTGAATCACTGGGAAGAAAGGGGAAGCTTTGTTTCAAAACAAGGGTAACATCTATTTTAATCTACTTTCCAAAGCCAAGAAAAAACATGAACATTTGAAAATGATTCCCAGGGTGGAAATAACTTTTTAATGATTTCTTTTTTTTTTTTTTTCAAAATACAAGACTTGAAGTACCTGAATTTTTTTTTAAGTATAAAAGGCAGGAGATCAACTGTTAAACGTGTAAGTACTATGTTGAGCTTCCAAATGTGGATGTTGAGTCTGTAGTCTTTAAAAGAATGATCTTTTAAATGACAGTAAGGTAAGATCAAATGAATGTGTTAAACTCCTTATACTTTCTATGAAATCTATGGAAAGTAAAAATATTATATATTTTCACCATTATAAAATACCAACATTAGACCTTTAGAAATTTATACTGAAATGATACCTTTTTTGTGTCCTTGAAAAATGCATGTTTATAACTTTTAATTTATGTTTAGATTTATTTATTACCAAGATCATGAAGAATTTATATTGTGAGGAATCAATTCTCAAAAAATAAGAATCAAATTTTCTATCCTTATAGCAATGTTAAGTGCAAGAATAAATGAAAAAACACATTTTAAAGAACATCACAATTTTTTCACATGTATAAGATATGTTATAGAATCTTAGTTATGAACAGATTAATAGGAAAATTATACAGATTAAATATCTCTCAAGAATGTATCTTTTTAATATTACTCATGATAAAATACAACTGAATTACAAATACCAAATTTGTCTACTAATTCGAGTTATTAAGAATACTATATTTGCAGAATACGTTCATGATAGAGACATAATTCACAGAGATAAAGTTTTTAAATAAGTAATCTATGCATGATGACAGCAAAATTAATTAAAAGTCCATTAGTTGGCTACTATATACTGTTAATGTAATGAAGCTAGGTATCCTATACCTTGTGTTACTTATAAGAATTGTAAAGTTCATTCCTTTTGGAATCTTTCTCTTTGGAACTAGAAATAAATTTTTAGCTAGATTTCTGTTTTATTCCTTCTTTTGTTGTGATTTGTGCTTTCCTAAAGTAAAAGATCAAAACAAGTACTTGCTATATACAATCTTCAATTTAAACTTTTGAGTGGCAGTCAGGAATAGTTTTCAAAAGTTTCTGGTACATTTCTGACTTTAGAAACCTGGGATAGGAATCCATTGCCATATGCATATATACTATTTTCTGAGCCTCTTCAAAACATGTTTGAGTGGGTTCCTGAATGTTCCTGATGATAGTTTCTCTTGTTGAATTGTCAATGTTAATCTGAAAAGGGAAATTACATGTAGAGCGTTAAGTAAGCACAATTAAACATGGACACGTAAAACGGGAAGGTTTCATTTATTCCCCCCTCCTTTTTAGTCCAGTAGGTAATTTTGCTCACAGTGTTCATAGATATCTAAAAAGATTTAGCAGAGATATTTTTTTTTTTTTTTGCTTTTTAAAAGTAAATATCCACCTTCACATCCCAAAGGAATAAAGAAGCCACCTGGCCTAAGACCACAGGAGTCTCAGAAACCACACTCTACTTAGGAGGATGCTGGTGGCTTTTTAGTGGATGTCTGCAAACGAGGAAGCTTATGAAACCAAGGCCTCTTTTTAAGGAAAGGGGAAGTTGGTTCTATTTTAAAATCTATCTTCCTTATTAGTTACAAAGATTGTTTTCACTGAATATGCCCTGAAATGGGAAGAAGGTGAGAAGAGGAGAAATGGAGGGCAGAAGTGGTTGTCTAAGTAAACCAAAAAAAATTTCCAAATAAGAATTTCAGAGAATAAGTTACCATCGTCTGTTCTTTTCCCTCAATAGGAATGTTCATTTTTCATTGTCTGCTAGGAAAAGTCTCAGTGAATCTGTTTCATTCACTGTAAATGACTGGTGGTAATCACAACGTGGATGTTTGCTGGGTCTGTTGGTTTTATGCGAAGGTGAACAGTAATCTCTGGTGTGGTGGTGGATTGCCACTGGGATGTGCACATGCCTATTTATGGCATTTGTAGTTTCTGTTGGCAAGGACACTTTTTTTTTTTTCTTTTTAACCTTCCTGGGAATTAAGATCATCTAATGAGAAACTTTGGAGCCAGACTGCCTAAGTTTGAATACTAACATTACCACTGTAATGACACTGGGCAAGTTCATTAACTTTACAAATTCTTTTTTTTTTAATCTATAAAATAAGGTTAGTAATATCAAATTTATAACATATTAGGAGATACTGGGATGTAAAGTGCCTGGCATGTATGGATGATTAACAGATATTAGTGTCAAAAGATGCACTGATTTCATTTCCCATCGGTTTTTACCTCTCTAGGGGACTGTGGCTGGATGTAGGTCTTATAAAGCTTCTTTGCCATAGAAACTCTGCTCCACCGTGAGGCAATTTTCTTATAAGTTTCACATGCCTTCCAGAATTTAATGTTCTCATCACTGTGCTCCATTTTTAAGTATGCTGCATAGACTACTGGACCATCTAAAAGTAGTAGAGAAATCAGTTTATTTTTATAGTTAAAATTATCAGAAAGTCTGAACAATATTTAAAATGCAGCTTAAAACAAAAGTCTGAATATAATCTCCCTAATTATTTATCAAGCTTAAAACAAAAGTCTGAATAAAATCTCCCTAATTATTTATCAAGTGAGTGTTTCATATCCATATCTGTATCTATCACACTCTTAAATCTATACATCTGAGGCACATTCAAACAATCCAGTCATCGGTGAGGTTATCTCTTCATTCTGAGTCACTCAGAGGAAATTTCTCACCACTGTGGATGGGTCTATGACACATAGGACAGGAGATGTCACAGGGACCTAGAAAAAAGGCTTAAGCTGGGCAGGTAGGAAGAGCTCTGATCATGATAAGAGAAAGCTAAGAACTCAAGCCAAACCGGTGGGTAAGAGCAGAGTGTAGATTCTAAAAAGACAGGGCAGGGTTGGAAGAAAACTATTCAAGCCATGTGGAAGTGATATTCTTATCAGGTTGTACAGCCTGAAGTGTTTCTGAATAGGCAGTCAGTGCAGGAGAACACAGACGGATGAAAATTAAGCTTCTTATTCATGGTTTATGGTTCACATCAGAAATAGGGACCAGGCAAGGAATGGAATTCAGATAGGATATTGGAAACTATCTTGGAATCTAGTACAGGGCAGTGATTATGTGGAGCATGATCATCAAATGACACTTGATGTCAAGATAGTTATCCTCAGGTCTGGTCTTAAACTGCCTTTCTGGAATGAGTATATAAGGACAAAGGTTGCATGAGCTTTTCTTGATTGTGGCACTATTTTCTAGGAACTTCTGTTTGAAGAAGACAGCTTTCAAAAATCTAACACATGAATCAGAATTTTTGGGAAGACCAAGTACTCTCAAGGTTCACCATGAATACTTCGAGATTAATATTAAACTTCTTTTGGTGTCTATGAAGTCTGTTGACATGCCTGAGCAATCAAATTGTTAAATGACAAAACAACAAAGTAACTTTCTTTTCTTTTTCTTTTTCTTTTTTTGATATGGGGAATTGAACCCAGGGATGCTTAACCACTGAGCCACATTTCCAGCCCTTTTTGAGATGGGTCTTGTTAAATTGCCTAGGGCCTGACTAAGTTGCTGAGGCTGGCTTTGAATTTGCAACCATATATACCACATAAAATATAGTTAGCATAGATGCTTGATGTGACAGCTTGCAGTATTATTCTCAGTTTTTCCCTTCCCTTCCTGCCTCAGCCTTCAGAATTATCTCATCCTCTGGGATTACAGGCAGATGCCACTGCACCCAGCCAAAGTAACTTTTGATAGAAATGTGTGTATAGACACGCTGAATCCATGACCATTTAGACCCTGACTGCTATCATAGGATTCTTTTTTTTTCCTATTACAAAAATCTGTGCATAATTTAATGTGTACAACCTGATGTGTTTGAAGTTAAGTGTATACCTATGAAACTGTCACCATAATCAAAGCCATAAACATATCCAGAAAGTGAAAAAGGATTTTGATTAATAAAACATTGGTCAGTAGCATTAACTATTTGAAAAGTAAGCATAATTAAATGGAATGGAAATAATGAGTAATCTAATCATGTTTTCCTCTAAGAGCTTAGATCAAATTTTCTAACACGAGAAAGTCAGACTTTTTGACTTCTTGGTTTCTAATTACTCTGTCAGAAATGATACAGGAATAAAGATAACAAAGTAATTTGTATTCAAGAAAAAAAAAACTCAAATAGAGGTATATACCTTCTATGGAGGCAGTATGGTTATGGAAAGTTGGTAATCTGCAAGAAATATAACATCCTAATAATACACAAACTTAGACCATGGCTTAATATTGTCATGTGAGCATATGCAGCCTTCCTGAAATTGGGCAGTAAGTTATTTGACAGGAATATTACCTCAATATGGAGGACATATGAGATGGGAGCAGAGCATATATAGGTATGTGACATAGGAAATGACATAGACTAGATGTTCCTGCCGAAAGGGGGAATATATTTAAACTTAGATTGCAAACAAAAAATTTATTTTCATGCTAAAGTGACTTTAAATTGTACCTTGCCTTACCATAGGCACAGGAAATGGAGCAGAGAACACATGTAGCAACTGACCCTCCTATTAAGGAAATAGGCGAATGGGTGGGAAAAGCAAAACAAACAAACAAACAAATAAAAAAAACAACCAAAAATTTATTTCTGGTTTAACATGTTAAGTTCAAGCTAGTGTTTTTCAGAATATATTGAAAGAAACAGCTGTATTTAAAAATGAATAAGCATATAGTTTGTAATAAGAGAAAGTTTGACTTAATGCTTAGTTAGGAACAGAAAATAAGGTCCTTAAAATAAAAATTAAGAAATGAGCTAGTGAATAGGAAAAGAAAGAGCATATGTGAGACAGACAGAGAGACAAACAGACACCTGGTAAAAATCCATAGATCATGGAATGAGAGTCAGCCATAGTTCCTAGAGTGATAAGTGGGTGGGGTGGAAAGATGATCTGGAAACCCCTATTAGATTCCACATTGTAATATTCAGATTTGTGTTTATGTTTTGCTTGATTTTGTATTAAAATGTTTATGGATTGTCATTTTAGAGCCCACCTGCATTTACACCTGCCTTCCTCGCTTCCCTCCTGATGGAGAAGAATGAGTTTCTGCTTCTTTTGAGGTTTGCCTAATGTTTCCACAATTCTCAAGACCTTTGCTAATGAAGTAATCTATGTGTTGCTCTATATAGTTTTTATGTTTTCTGAGTGATCATTTCCATATATACTATATAAAATATAGTTAGCATAGATGCTTGATGTGACAGCTTGCAGTATTATTCTAAGTTTTTCCCTGCCCTTCCTCTAAAGGCATTATATTTCCCTATCCCATTTACATCTGCACTGGCCATTGAACTTGTGCTAGTCAATAAAATACATGCAAAAGTGCTGTGTGTAGTTCCGAGAGAATGGTTTAAGAACCCTCATGTGGTTGGTTCTGCTTCTCCCTTCCTTATGAAGAGAATGTATCCTAGAAAAAAAGCTGCTCATTTAGCCTAAAGGCTGGAATGAGGACAGAGAAAAGAGTGAGAGCTGACCTTAGTTGCTGTGTATCATGAGCAAGGAAGGGACCTTTCTTACTGTAACTCATCGGGATTTTAATGTCATTTGTTACTCTATCATAACTTAGCAGAAGCTGACCTGGATGACTCGAACCCATCTGATATTTCAGATGTGATTCTGATGCGTGGAATGAGTAGACTTATGTGATTGGTATGTTTTGCAGAATTCTGTATACATTAGGTTAATTTTTGTCTGAGTATGCTACATGTTATCCAAACAAGCCGCTGAGAGTGCATTTATGTAAAACTGTTTCAGGAATCATAGTAAATATTAAATTCATACTTAAATTACCAGTTTAGAATTTGGTTGATGCATGTACCACATGAATCATAATGTAAAAAAGTCTTTCCCAAATCAGACAATCGAACCCAATGTGGCCCATTCTGAAGTTTTAAATTACAATCATTCCTGAGCACTATGCTCAGGAGACCATGATTCTGCTGCAGAAGAGTGATTCAAGGCTAAGCAACAGAATTGCTCACTTAAGTTGAGAGGGTGGCAGAAATAGGTTTATGGCATATGTGGGGTATACCTTTTCCTTGAAGAATCAGAGTGTTGCTTTTGGAAATCTCTAACTTGCCCTTTTAAAAGTAGTCACTAAAATTAGTACTCCTATGACACACAAGATGACACATGACATCGTTTCTTGATGCAGTAGAAAAACATGGAATTTCTTTCTTTTTTTAAGTTGTTGATGAACCTTTATTTTTATTTATTTATATGTGGTGCTAAGAATTGAACCCAGTGCCTCACACTTGCTAGGCAAGTGCTTTACCACTGAGCCACAACCCCAGCCCATGGAATTTCTTGACTGAATCAGAATGGTGGTCTATCTTATTCCAGGATCATGTTTTTCTGTAAGATGTCAAGTCTTGTACCATGTATTAAGTCCTAAAAGTGAGCTATGTCCATTAGAAATATGTCCAAACCAATTTTAAATTCACCTTTTAATTTTAAATCTGTACCACTGGAGATATAATAAATTCCATAATTCTACCAGAATCTGTGTGAAGTTTTATAGTAAATCTTCCTGTTTTATTAAAATTTTCTGGTTTGGTTTCTAGGATATTAATCATTTCTAATCTTGCTCCTACTTTTTCTTTGCTGTGTTATTATAAAAGTAGTTTAAAATGCTATGTTATTAACACAGAAAATATCTAATAAAGTAGTATCCATTGTTGACAATTTGTTGTTTCCTTTTATTCTTTCAATCTATTGATCATGTAAAAACATGTATCTAGCTAGCATTCATTCATCTGCACACACAGATACAAATACAAGTTACTTATTGACATAATGTAAAGGCATTTTAAAAAAATCACTATTGCTCTTTCATGCTTAATATTATGCAACAAACACTTTCCTTTTTACTTTAGATGATCATGATAGTCCATTGAAGGGCTAGGTTGTAAGACAATTGTTCTTCTGTGTCCATAGGGCATTGGTTTCAGGACCCCCTGAGGAAGCCAAAATCTGAAAATGCTAAATCTTCTACATAAAATGGGATAACATTTGTGGATAAGCTACATACATCCTTCTGTATATTTTAAGTCATCTCTAGATTACTGATAATACCTAGTATCATGTGTTATGTAAACAGTTGTTATACCATATTGTTTAGGGAAGAAAAAATATCTCTACATGTTTAATATACATACAATTCTTTTCCTAAATATTTTTCATCTGCAGGTCATTGAACTCAGAGCTGCAGGACATGTGGATACAGAAGGGTGACTGTATATTTAGTCATTCTATTATTATTGAACATTTGGATTTTTCTACATTTTTTGGTATATAGATATCAAACATTTTGTATATAAATACCAAACATCTTGGTCTATAAGTCCTTAGGACCAATTATCTTAGGATTGATTGATGGAATTAAATACCTAAACTGAACATGTAATATTTTGAGAGAGTTTTGATACATACTGTAATATTTAAAAAATTTTTTTCCTAAACTTTTCTTCTTTTTTTCCTGTGAACTTCAAACATTTTGTCCATTTTTCTTTTGTATCATTAGTGTTTCTTGACTTTTCAGATAGTATCTTAAAGGCACTCTCTGTAATATTTATGGCTTTATTTTCTATTCTCCATTTACTCATTATTCTTTTAAAATTATTATTATTTATTTTAGATGGGGACTCACTGTGTTGCTCAGGCTGGTCTCAAACTCAAGTGATCATTTCACCTCAGCTTCCCAAGTGACTAGGACAGGCTCTTACCCGCTGGCCTGACTTTCCTTTTTATGTGTTACTTTTGTTTATGATTTTGAGACTTGTGAACTCTCTAATATGAAAAAGCTTCAGTTCAACTCTGACCTGATCTAGCTGCCAATCTTTTCTGTTCTTTTATTCGAGAAAAATCTCTAAAACAAAACCCTAGTCATTACCATCTATTATACCTTTCAAAATTTTCCCATTTCCCAAATGACAAAGGCCGGACCTCTTGGCTGTGGTTCTAGGGCTCATTAGGACACAGCCCTCCATCTCCCCTGCTTCCTCCCTTGCCCTTCCTGGCTGGCAGTCTCTGAGCCTTATTTAGACACTTCCTGTGTGTTATGTATGCAGTTCCTTTCATGTTGCAGGTTTTCTACCTTGATCCAAGACTTAGCTTATATATTTCAATTTCTGGAAAAATTTGTCTCAATACCCCAAGCTGGATAAGCTCTTCCTATCAGTTGACAAATAGCATGGAGTGCATATCTGTTTTAATTTATAGTTTATCTACCTACCTACTCACAGTCTATTATATTTATGGGTTTACTTCCACTATGTCTCCATTCACCTGAGAAGCTTTGAGGATTAGGAATGAAGTTTATTCATCTTTATATACCCAGTTCTTATATACTACCTTATATATAGCAGGTATTGACTAAAGTGTTAATCTGGGCTTTTGTATCTCTCATGCTTCTACATTTTAAAGAACATTTTGTACAGGTCTTGGAAAGTGAAGAAGTAGGCCCTAATAATTCACTATCTGAGAAGCTCAAGAGACCAGAAGATCATACCTGGAATGCTATTACATTTTCACTTTTTGTGAGTGAGAAAAAAATGTACTAAGTGAGCAGCAATGTCTATGAAAGGCCAGGTTTTCTACCCCCCTGCCAGGTGAAGAAGTGTATGAGAAAGCAAAGACAAAATGTGCTAAATGCTTTCAAAGGGATGAGGCAAGGCAGTGCTGTAATACAAGGGTTGATGCTGGTAACTATGGAAACAGCGTGGTTAGCAGAGATTAGAATAAATGATAGTGTAGGAAGCTGCCAATCAGGAGTGAGCAGCAAAGACTTCCCCACAGATGAGAGAATTGAGAGAATGGCTCTGCCTTTGGGATCAAGATGCACCTGAGGGAGTAACAATATCCCTCAGTAACTTCCAACATCTGCCCTGCTATCATGTGGATAAAGAGGCACCAGGCAGCATAGATGTTCATCAATATAGAGCAGCCTCCATTGCCTTCAGCAGTATGGTAATCCAACATCATTCAACTAAGCATTTCCAAGATTTGAGCAAAATTAAAAATTAATGCAAACTCTCTGATTCAGAACACTGGCCTACTCAGGTTGGTTACGCTATATCCCTGCTCTGCATCTATGCTGGAGCAAACTGATCAGGCCACAGAAAAATACACAGCTGTGCTTTCTAACTTGAAATGATCACTGCACATTTTAAATGGGTACTCCACCATGTCTAGTCATTAACTCATTCTTTCCTAATATCACAGTTCTCAAAATCTCCAGAAATTATTTCATCCCTTTTCCCTTTTTAACATTCGAACACACCCTCTCTTCAGCAATCTGTAGTTGACCTTCAAACTTTGCTGAGACAGACTTAATCAGATGGAGATGTCCTATCTTCCCTCCAGCAAGGTAGTTGGTTAACTACCTCCATCTGCACCTGTCCTTTCCAATTACCTGAGGAATTTTTTTCAGCTCTGCTTTGCTTTTTCTGTTCATGTTACTTTTTATTGCATCACTATCTCCACCCTTCTCCATGTCACCAGTCCACTCTTCACTAATAGTCATCGTCATACAAATAGATTGCTGTATTTCCCAAATAAGACCCAACTATTGACCGCATATGCCCACTATTGACCACGTGCCCCCTTGGTGTTTCTACTTTTTTTTTCTATTTTTAAACATACTTTCTTTTTAATTGACACGTAGTAATAGTACCTCTTTATGCAGGACAGTGTGCTGTTTCTATCCCTGTACACAATGTGTAATGATCAGATCCACATAATCGGCATATCTACAACCTCAGACAGTTATTATTTCTTTGTGCTGGGAATATTAAAATTCCTTTTGACTACTACTTCAAAATAATTAATTGTTGTCAACTATAGTTATTCTATTGTGCTACAGTACATTAGAAATTTTTCTTCTTATAGAAGTGCACTTATGTACCCCTTGTTCATCTTTTCTCTATTCCCTCTTTCCCCACACCCTTATCAGACTCTAGTAACAACTATTGTGTTCTCTACTTCTTTGAGAGCAACATTTTACTTGTCTTTCTGTGCCTGACTTACTTCCTTTAACATATGTCTGTCAGTTCCATCCTTG